ACTATGACCGTGAGATAAAAATCCCCTTTCGTTAGACTTTCGTTGAAATCCGCATTGCAATATTTTTTAATCACAATACTATTATTGTGAAAACACTGTTCATCTCTGTTCCCTCGCCTCTGAGACAAACCCGTCCGCACCGCTTCTGGTATCGCCGTAAATTTTGAGTTGACGAACATCATGACTACCCACTAACCCCCTTGCCTTGGCTTGCAACTCACGAACCTCTTGACTACCCAGAAACCTAAACGGAAAGCCAGAAACCCTGAACGGCTACCCAGTAACTTACTAACGTTGATCTGAGATGAGACGGTCGTTGCATAGTCATCTGCCAAATCAAATGAAAGGAAAGGATCCGATTCTGTGGACCAAGTCCATCTCTTCTATGAGTTGAACTCCTGGGCCCTCCCAGCCCCTCAACGATGCTGCAAGCTAAAAGTAGATTTATTCATTCCATGGTGAATAAATCAGTAACAACTTTTTGGTCTCTATGCGTCTCTCTTATGAATTTTCCGTACAGAGACAGCACTTCACGACTCGCCAATATAACTCTTCCATAATACTCTTCTGCTTTAGCCACATCTTTCTCCACTTGTAGAAATCAGATTCAAAAAATAAAAACGATCGTTATGAAATGATGGAGTAGAAATATAAGTGGTCATCAACGTCGGTAAATCGAACTGCCAAATATACCTCATACAAGAATTGACCATAATTCCACAAGAGAAGTGGATTTGTTGGGTTCGATTTCAGCATCTGTTGACGGAACTTCCAAGTTTCGCCAGCTCAAAACTTATGGCGATACCAGAAGCGGTGTCTCACTGTTTTTGAGTTGCGACTCTGCTGTTTTTGATTTCTATACCTTGTTATTCGTGCCATTCGGGGAGGGTCTAGGGGTGAAGTACGCCAGGCGTCGAGTGTGGAGCCAAAATCGGCTAGGCTCATTGACCAGTTAACCATGACTGCTGGTGCCTTTAGAGGAAGCAGGTATGCTTTTTCTCTCTTCTTGGGTTGTTCACTCCTCGGCGGTGACAGAGGACTTCAAAAGAGGGACGCCGCTGCAATCCTCCGCCGGTGGAAACGGAGGCGTCGGTGACGGGTTCGAATCCGCTGCCGCTGCAATCCTCTGATATCGTGTTTCTTTCACTCTTTCAGGTGTTATTTTCTTGCTGAAATTGAAAGGTAAGAGAGGCTACAGCAAGCCTCAGGTCTTCAGAGGAGCCCTCGCTCTCTCGCTGCCGGCCCGCAGCGGTTCCGTGAAGCATTGTACAGTTGGTTTTTGACAGTACGATGACTTGCAAAATCCCAAGTGAAAGGTGCAAGGCCTCAGGACTTAGAGAAGCTGGATTGGCATGGACAAGACCTGGCTTGTTTTCATTTATAAATGGCCTTTTCAACAAAAGTTATGCTGTCGAACATGCTTCCATTCCATGCAAAACAGACTGACCTTCGGCCTTGGGTTGCCAAGCATTTATTATGTTTATCCATGTCCACATGGTGTCCATCTGGGCTACGTTCTGTGGGAACCGAGATTGCCTGGTGTCTGTTGTCGGAACCCGTGAAAGACTTGTAGTTGACGGAACTGCAGACTCTACTCCTGCAGTACTTACACTTGCGGAGCCGGAGCGGGCGTCACGTCCCACGGTCATAGTACAGGGATAGCATCGGAAGGGTAGTATTAGAAGTTTGGGGAAGATGAATATTATTTTTTATCTATTGGAACGGTCATTTTGGACGAAAAACTAACGGAAAGATGTTTTTATCATAATACAGGAGCTTTTTGTCTCAAAACAAAATATAAAGGGGTCTTTGTAATTTATTGCTTTTATGTGGCAACGCTTACATCCTTAAAATTTATCATAAAAGGTCCCAAATAGAAATGGCAGTAATTGTAAGTAGAGTAGATTTAGGGTGAATTGCATTGGTAGAATCTCTAATCTTCCACTGGAAAATGGAAACAACAGCAAGAGCAATCAAGTAGATTGGGGCCAATTCCTCAAACCTTTGCACATCATCGAATCCCCATCAGAGCTCTCTCCATCATACAGTTCACCAGCAACAAAGTCCAAGTCCAAGCAGCTAGAAGAGTCTGAATAATCCGAACAATCATCCCAGTAAGTCCTCTTGTAACAATCTACGATAAGGGGTCCCAGAACCTTTCAATCATGAGTACTTTTCTTTGGGGAATTTCTAATCAAGTTTCACATCCCAACACCCTCTGATGTTCAGGAATTCAAGATCCCGGCGGTTTGAGAGGATCTCAAACACATCTTCTGTAGTGATGAGAAGGTAAGCCATCTCAAGGTGCCGTCAAAAGCCATCTCTGTTCCAAGATTTGCAAACCTTTGGCGTCACAGTCATTGACTCCTGAAGAGAAAGATTCTTGAAGATTAGCCCCAACGCATCGGTTATTAGTTCATCCCATCCCCGGAAATCGCCTCCCTCCTCTATCGAATTTTTCAGAAAACCGAACAGCTTTTTTATGCCCGACTGTGGTTGTTTGGATCTTCCAACAGGGAAGGAGCCTTCAGGAAAGAATTTGGGAAGGAAATCAAATGGGATTACACCTTTGTTTCATCTTCTTGAGAAAGAAAATGATGTAAGTATTTTATTTTTAAGGATAATTTTAATATTTACAAAGTTTTAATTCGCACATGATGATACACGTAACTGACAGTTGATTAATGTTTAAATATACTACATTCATACATAGGTACTAATATATAATTTTACCTGATATATAACATATACATAATATCTGTATATTATAAAATATTATACTATGTAAATCATTTATTTAATATTTTTTTTTTGTAAAATTAGGAGGAGCTCTGCCCAAAGCATCATAAAATCTTGTTATTAGCAAGGTTTAAAGTATCGATACGAAACGAGTTTCGTCCGTATTGTCACTTAGAAATGGCCGAAACTCTATTTATTTTTTTAGTTTATTTTTTTTAAATTTTGGTTTTTTGGAAAACTTTTAGCATGCTTTTTATTATTAAAAAAAATTGGGGGTCTGAACCGTATCGTTTTCAAAAGATACAATATCAATACTTTGAACCTAGATTATTAGTAAAGAACTTAAGGTCCAACTGAGAGTCAAACCCAACCATATATTAAATATTATATATACAATATATTTGGTTTTGTTTATAATATTTTATATAAAAGTTAAAATATATAGTATACATATTCATGAGTTGACATATAAATCAATTACATAAGAAAATAACTTGTTCTCTAGGCTTGTCTTCCCTTATATAGATGAAGGTAAGACTTTTCAACTCCTAAGTGCTGTTAGACTAATAATTATGCTTACTATTGGGTGTAATGCATTAACAAGAATGTTGTTCCAACTTCCAAGTCTCACATTGCTTGGGTGTTTCTCCAAGTATTTCATTTGTATAAGAGACAATTATGTGTTTCTCCAAGTACTTCATTCATATCTATCTCTCTCTATATATATTCAGCCCAATGTGTTTTTATACAATTTATTTCATTATTACTACATATTATATACTTAAAATTTCTATATTTTAGGGCCTGGCCTGGCCTGAGCAATACCCTAGCACAGGTGCTAAGCTTGACTCGTGTCCAGCCTGGTCCATCATCACCCCTATTGATATCTAATAACTTCTAGTAGTCGATTATGGTATCATAACTGATAAATGATAACCAATCAATGCTTATGAACGCCCAGCATTTAATCCAACTATGGTTTGGAAGCATCGTTTTCTGAAACGTTGCTATCAGGTAGGACGTTTTTGGGCAATAACAATACTTTCTGTTTGGTATCAGTGTTCCATATCTGTTTTCAACACTGGTACCTATTATAGGAAGTCCACGTCAATGTCACATTATTTCTTCGTTGGCAGCAATGGGCTCTAAATTGAGAAAACATCGAATTCAACACTTCCTCAAATCACGCCTTCTCGATTTCTAAGACATAGTTTGGAGCACTATTTTTTATGAAACACCAATTTTTCCAACATAACGCTAATGTATCATCATTTTTTGGAGCAACGGCATCGATGCCAAACACCACCTAAGAATTTTGTCCAGGACTTGTGCATTTATTGTGCATATGATACAGCTAAAGGAAGCAGCTGATTGGAAAAATTTCTTGTTGGTTTGCACCTGGGTTAGGGGTTATGGGTTCGGGGATGGGCTACCCCCTACCCCCCACGGTTGTGTAACCCTTCAAAATATATCAACATCACGAATTCGATGCTGTGTCATTTGATAAAACAAATTGAATCTAATAATTAATTACAAATTACCATTTGTCATCCAATATTTTTACTGGAATTTAAACCAGTTTCGTGTTTAACCTTAAAAAAAATCAGAATACTTGGAAACAAATTAAAAATTAATAAACAAATTTATGAAATTTTCAGGAGGTACTACATTATCATCGAATTCTTTTCTTTAAACTCCATATGAAATGACCAAACCCTTATTAACAGTCAATTAAGAAAAATTAGAGCAAGGCATAATTCTCCTACATATCTTTATGTAAAATAGTTATAAAACTAGTTTGTATGTATCTGTTGCTGAAGCTTGCAAATGTTGTAGATCAGCAAACGTCTTCTGTTGAAAAATATGACCCCACTCACAGCCACACCTGAAATTGGATTGCTGCTCCACGATTGGGAATGCATAACTAGACTTCTGACGTAATGGGTTTTATCTAATGGAAACATGGGCCCAATGTCAATGGAGGCCCATCCTTGGTCCAACTTTAAATGCTGCGCCCACATTAATACACTAAGGTTTTAGGGCCTGCTCATGAATTTTGTAAATCCTTGATGATGGAAAAGGAACCACCTCTTTAACTCTTTGTCTTTGATGCCTTTTCCCCCCCTCTGAACTCTAGAATGTCTTCTGGGTCAACTGAACTTGCAAGCTAGAGCAGAATTAATACAGGCCATGTTCATTCTACCATGGAAGCTTTGAACAAACAAATGAGTAAGCTCCAACTCTTACTGATACAGCTTTTTTTATGTTTCTTTGAAGAGATTGTTTTGGCGACCAACCCGAATTGGCAGCCCAAAATTTCGATATATTCTAAGCTCACCTCCTAACCCCGCTGTCACCAGCGCCAGACCCCAAGCTGTTGCCTGGACGGCAGTAGCCCCGCTGTTATTACTCCCTTCCTGCAACGACCAAGACGAAGATGGAGAATGGCGTGGAGTATGCGTAGATGGTGACTCGAGATGCCCAGGCGAAGCAACACCTGAAGAAGCCGAGGCGTTGCGACAGAGCCCTGAGTCTGTACGAGTTGCTGCTTTGTCCAACTCCTCTTCTGGGAAAATTGCCCTATCCGAGAAGCTGTTCTTCTTTTTGAAAGGTGAGAAACTACTTCTCCTCCCGCTGCAGTGCACGGAGGAGTCTTCAGGAAATAAAGGGCTCAAGAAGGAAGAAGGTGGCAGCACACTGATGCGTTTTGAGTGTTTTTTCGAGTGGACTGTCGGCATTGGTGGCTCATGCTTGGTACCAACAGGCCATGGGATTGCAACTGATACATCGTTGCATTGGAATCGCTCATGGGCTCGATTGGTGACATGACCTTTGATCTTTCCACTACCCAGATTACGGATTTCGTCGTGCTTCCATACACAGACAGTAGAATCTTCACTTGCACAGACAACGTATTTCCCATCTGCAGTGAATGATGCCGATATTTGGCTACTCGTATTCCGAAATCCTGTTGAAGAATAGTTCGTCCAGTCAGAAAATTAATACAGGTGCTTGTATTCATGTAGTTCCAGTTAATTAATTATAACTAACGCCCAATCCAACAAAATTGTAATCAAATATTTACCGGTTCCCACGCCTTATACATCTGTGTATGTATCTTATATGTAATTAGTTATTTTTATTAATTTTTATTGTGTTACTTATTAATTATTAATTATTAAATAGTAATTATTAATTTTTTAAAATATTTTAATTTTTATATCTAAATTATTAATTATTAATTTTAATTGTGTTATTTTTTAATTATTGATTTTTATCAAATTTTAAAAATTATTTTAATTTTTATTTGTATATTATTAATTATTAATAATTTTAAATGTATTATTTATTATTTACTAATTTATTATTTTTATTTACATTATTTTGAATTTCATAAATTATTTGATATGAAATAGTACAAATTGAACTCAAAATTATCAACTAGTTTGTTCTTGGGGTAAAATAGTAAAATCAGGGAATTTCATATGCTGAATGGTTGATCCAACACAAACAACCTTATCTAAAGTAGAAAAACATCACAACTCTTTTCAGATTCCAGACATACTTTTAGGGGGCATTCTTTTTTTGGATTTGGAGAGGGGGGAAAGTTGGTCAATGGAATTTTGGTTCCCATTGATTAGGAATTCCATATTCTTTTTTCAGCTTTATATGGGGACCAAGGAAAGTTTATTTTCTTGGGTATCACTTACCCAGAAAAGTGATACTCATCTCCTAAATAGGTAAATTACTTTCCCACATAGGGGGAAGTTGTCAATACTTGAATGTAACAAAAATGCCCCTTTTATTAATAGATTTCTATAGCTAAAATGGTCATTACCTTATTTACCTGAAAAATAAAAGAACATGGGTAAATGCATTTACCCGGGTAAGTATTTCCCATAAAAAACTTACCTAGGCAATTGCATTTTCAGATTTCAGATTTCAGATTTATCAAACACCACCTTAGTGTAAATTAGATCCATATCCAATACTCTGGTCAGCTTTCTCATTTTATATACATATTTGGATAATAAAGATACAGATGATATATACCTCTGAATTTATGAGTGAGATCAGAACCATGAAAGATTCGGATCCGTGAATCAGCAGAGGTAATTAACACCTCGGATGGATTCCCTGGGCGAAACTGTCCAAGGACAAATTTTAGTCAACCTGCATATTATATACCAATTATATAGAAAAGAAAGAAACTAAACACACAAATTGGCAAAATAATAGAAAAAACTTTGTACAGAGAGTTACAGGCCTAAAAATGGATATTGGTAACCTGAAAACCAGTGATCTTTTTTGCATGAGTCTTCTTTTTGTTCTTGTTCTGGATATCTATCTTCTTTTTCTTTTGGATGTTTACCCGACCTTTGGGAAGCAGTTTGTATTCTGAACCATCAATCAAATAGGAATCAACATTGCTTTTCCAAATGAACTGAAAAAAAGAAGTATCCCTCAGGAGGAATTGTAAACACCACATCATTTTTAGTACCTCTATGCAAATTAAATGTCTTCTAAATGTCGAACATCTTTCAAGAATTTTGGAAAAATTGAGGAGTTTCCATCAAAAGATCTCCTAGCTAGTCCAAGGAAAACTAGGAATGGCAATGGGGCGGGGCACCCCCTCCCCGTAGTCAAGATACTTTTCCCTATCCCCACCCCGTCCCCGGTGGTGGGGCGGGTTTAGGGTGGGGCATCCACTCTTAGTCAGGGACGAGTAATTCCTGAATTTTCCCCGCTCCAAGGCAACTATTTAAAAATTATCTATTTTTGTGGACAATTTATACATATAATATAGGAATTTAGGGGTATTTTGGGAATTGAATTATAATACTTTGGGGTTATTTCAAAAATAAAATTATGGGATTTTAGGATTTTAAGAATTTAGGGAAATCTTAGAGATATTTTAAATATCATATTAAACCTAGAGATATTTTACTAATTTTACCTTCAGGTTCAGGGAATTATATACAAAACCCGTTCCCACCCCGTCCCTGATTTGAGAAAAAAATATTTTCCCCGTCCCTGCCCCGTACCCGTTTAAGGTCGGAGAAAACCTGCTCCGTTCGGGGCAGGGCCACGGTTTCACATAAAGATATAACTGAAACAAAAATTTTATATCTATAGTAATACTACCAAATGATGATGATGATGATATGTGTTTAAAATTTTCCACATTTGTCCCGAAAAAGGTTTAATTGATGATGATACTAGTTGTGAGTTACTTAGGAACTCTTTGATGCCTCTTAATGCTGAATGTTGAAAATCATTCATGCATTTTCAGAGCCAATAAGAGCGTTCGGTTTCATTTCTCGCTTCATCCTTAAATGTCATGTCAGTCCTTATTTTCCACTAACTTTACTTTTTTGTTTTCCAAAAATTACCCCCAAAAGCTTATTCCTTTCACATATACTACAATTTGAAAAACCTATATAATAACAATAATAATAATAATAATAATAAAGTAATATTTAAATTTATTACTATTATTAATTATTTATGTATTATTTGAGTATTTTATTAAATCATAATTTTATTTTATTATCCATTAAATTATTTGCCAATATATTATTTTAATTAATTAAAATTTAATTCATAAATAATAAAATTTAGTTAAGATTTCTATTCAAAATTAGTTAATTAATTAAAAATTAAATATTAATTATTAAAAAGTAATTGACTAACAATAAAACTTCATTAGTAATAAATATTTTTATTATTTATTATCTAGATATAATTTATTATGTTAATAACCTATTATGTAATTATCTATTTATAAATCAGTAAATAATTTATTATTAATTATTAAGAATTAATGAATTGATTATTAAATCAATTGATTATTTTAATTAATAAAAATTAATTAATTTATATGATTAATTAGTTAAAATAACAAATTATTATATAATTTTTATATAAATTGTTTAAGTAATGCTTAATATCTTAAAAAAATAGGTAATTAATTATAAAATCATTTATTACTAGTTAGTAATTACTCAATTTTTAAAAATATTTAATTATTTATAATTTTTTACATTCAATTTATGAATTGTTAGTTAGTTTGTTAAACAATTAAACAAACTTTCTATTATCCAAGGTTAAAATGGTCAATTGTCATTTTTGAGAATTCAGCATTCAAATTTCAGAACAACATTCTCTACATTCAGACTTCAGAGTCAAGAGAAGTTACAAACAATAGTACACCTTTAAAAGTAATTATTACAGTTTCAGAGGAATTTAGAGTTCAGAATTTAATGCAAACGAACATGCCCTTAGGCTCCAATAAAAAATCATGATGGGATGTGTTGTGAGCGAAAAACATGTTAACAAGTGGCAACCATGAATGTAACAAACAAGTATGGGAGATATCGATGTGTAGTTGGATGTTGTGTGTCAGAGTGTTAATATGCTTTTGTTGGTAGTAGATCTAGAGCATTACTGCTACTAACAAACAAATCAAAGCACATCAAATTTTTGTGTCACCTATCCTCAAGCCATAATAATTTTAAGAAAATAATTTGCACAAGTGCATGTTTATCATTGTCAAGGACAAGTGCATGACACAAAATTGTGATGTGGCTAGCATGTTTTGTTACTAGAGGATCCCCATAAGATTATTATTATTATTGCAACTAGTGGGGACCTGTGCGATGCACAGGATTTATTAAGCCAAAGATAAATAATATAAAGGGTCATTTATTAAGATACCTCTTATAATATAAAGGGTCATTTTACTAAAATCTACCCTATAATTTGCAATGGATTTAATCAATCTTCCATTAGTGACAGTGTTGACCGTAATGTTCATTTCAATAAATTTAATCAAAAGAAAATAAAAACAAAAATACCATTTTTGTCCTTAATAAGACACAAATAACCACTCTATTGCTTACATTTGTTTTTTTTTTGTACAAAAAATTATTAAGGATATTTTTGGAATAAAAAATAATAGGACTAATGGCAAAACAAACACTCCTTAATGAAAGGTTTATTAAGTAAATAAGTTGTAAAATATATGGGATATTTTAGTAAAATGAAAATTATAAGGTAGGTTTAAGTAAATATGTAAAACTTTAATGTGTGTTCTAGTAAATGACCCTAATAAAACACATAAGAGTATACAATTGTTTTTTATATTTTCAACTTTGTAAATAATTAATAATTACTCATATTTTATATACTACTTTTAATGAATTTTTTATCATACAAAATTAACAATAATTAATTTCAGTTAGGTTTATTCATCAAACTGATGAAACAGTCCAACTCGATCAACTCAACCCAAGTTGGTCAGTTTTCTAGTATTTTAGGTTGGCTTATGTTCAAAAATTTCCCAATTCGACTAAGTTGGATCAATTTCACTTTGACCATTTATAAACCAACCTAAATTGAATGACCTAACCATGGATATATATTAATATTTTAAATATAATTTTTAATATGAAAAAGTGGGAAATTTCTTATTTTTCTTAGTCTAAAATGTTTTATATACTAAATCTAATTTATAAATTTATTGTTTAATAATTGCACTATATCTTTTAAAATTAAATTCAATTTGTAAGTTTAAATCCTTTGAGTCCTTTTATTTGAGTGTAATGCTTAAAAAATAGTTTTTTTTTTCTCTGGTTTAACTCCATTGAAGGCCTCATATTAAGCTTGGAGTGATTCCGTACTTAGATTTGGAAAGTATCTTCTTCTTTTATATTTCTGTTCTACATTACTTTATCATTATTGTCTAATGCTGACATAGTTTAGCTGCAATAGAACTCAACCAGAATTATTGATAAGTTTAATTAGATCATAAGAGTGACAGTAATAGAATAGCTCATACCGCTAGAAATGTTATAAGAACAGCAGCTTCCGTTTTGTGAGCCAACTAATGCACCCTTCAATAACAAAAAGAAAGCATCATTGAGTGGAAAAACTCATTTTAGTATGTTCTTTTGGAGTCCAATGAAGTGCTCAAAAGGATCGACCAAGGCATTATGATAAGAATACTCAACCAAGCACTTGTAAAATTGGATCATCTAATATCCAATTTAATTAACTCTTTATACATTAAGAAAATCTTAACGAAATATGTCATTGCCGCTCAGTTTGGAAGGAGTACAAATACAAATATGTAGGGTGCAAAACATTGTATTTTAATTTGTATGTATTTATATTGTACATATTTGTATTTGTAGAAATTGGCTTCCATCAGGGCAAGCCCATGCTCACACCGTCCCAACAGCCTCTTGCACCCTTACACCGGGAATATCTCCCCATGAAATAAAGCATATGAGTGTGGAGATATTCCCAAAGCAAGGCTGTAAACTGAGCCTGATGGAAGCCGAACTCTGCTCAAATGGGTGTTGCCCTGATGGAAGCCAAACTCGTATTTGTATTCCTTCCAAACTGAGTCTGAAGGAAAAAAAGGGATAAGTTCTAGAAAACAAAAATAGTTCAGGGAAGGAATTATATGATTTGTGAAATGAATGTAGCAGAAATGCCAATGCTTGGAGAGACTAATGGTAAGTAAAACTAGGAAGGACAGGGCTAAAACATGAACTCATACAAAGAAACCTAGGAGTAGCCCCAATAGGTGATAGAATGAGATAAAGTAGATTGAGATGGTTTAATGATCACAAGCAAAGCGACATCACCTGATAAAAAAAAACGATATGATCTATTACAAGTTGAAGGGGCTCCAAGAAAATAGGGGCAGATAGATCCTAATAGGATTTAGGTGGAAGTACTAAGAAATGATTTAAGCACCCATAATTTTTTGATAGATATCTACTGAACAGAAGGGAATGGCTACACAGGATTCATGTAGCTCAGCCCATAGTTGGAACAAGGCTATGAGGATGATGAGGATGATGATGTAAAAATAAAGAAGAAAAGAAAACATGGAGCAGCATATGAACCTTTCCATCAGGAGTGTAGCAAGCAGCAGTAACCATTTCATGAAGATCAGTCCAATCAACAACTTTCCGTTTTGGTATGTTCCATATTCGGACTTTGGCATCAAGAGAACCACTGATGAAATATCTATCATCTATTGGATTGAACTGTACGCAAGTTACTGCCCAACCATAACAGAAACAAGACCATAAGAAGGATGAACAACCATGTTCAAAGGATACTGAAATAGTACATTATTTATCACATTGAACCTAGCTAGCTTTGGTTCTGGGCATCTCACCATAATCATTATGTGCAAACAACTTCAAACATGTCTTGCTTTCTATGTCCCACAACCTAACAGTTTTGTCCATTGAAGAGGAAAGTAGTAATTGCTGAAAATTCACAGAAAAGCAGATATTAGTTCCTTTTCTTTCAGTAGCATTGGCAAGAATTTTTAGAGTTTCAACATTCATGGAATTAGCAGAGCTGACCTGTGATTTGGACCAGGAGAGATCCAAAACATCAGCCAGGTGACCTTCGAAAGAGCAAACTGGTTTATCTGAGAGTAAGAAACTGGTTTCTGGTACGAGCACATGATTAGGGAACGATCCCTTTTTGCAGGTAGATGAAGCCTTTCCCTTTTTCTTCCTCTCCCATGAAGATGAATGACTCTCTGCAAGAGATCGATCAGAGGAAATGCTTGCATTGGATGGACGTGGAGCATTGAAATTTTGATCATCTAGGGTTGATTCCACATCACATTCCAACACTTCCCAGACATGAATTATACAATCTTCTCCTGCACTTGCCAAGTAACGTGCATCAAAGCTAAATCTAATAGTCCAAATAGAACCCTCATGAGCCTTAATCTCTTGGCACATATATAGAGCGGTTAGCTCTTTGAAAGATTTTCCATTCTGGCGAGCTTTTGTCCATGCGGAGGTGCGAATCTCTGGAGATTGCTGTTCCATTAATGGACACTTCTCTTTTTCACCCTTGAACCCAGTAACTGAATTCGCAACACCCTTTATGTTCTTCAACAAAGAAGCACCCTTTTTCTTGCTTGATTTGAAACTCTTACTCAAAATAGTATTGGAGCCGATTTTTCTTTCACTTACACTGATTCTTCCACTGTCATCAAGTCTAGACACGTTTTCTCGACGCATCAGCTCTCTAACAATTGGGGAATAACCAACGCAAAACTTCTCAAACTCATCCCTGGTTAGCTGCTTTCCAGTCTGAAGATCACACAACCTGTTCCACATACCATTGTCATCGAACTCGTTGACAAGGAAATCCTTACCTGTGTCTAGGTTCTTTATCACAAAGAAAGAATCATTTTTGTTTCTTAGCAAAAACGATGTTAGTCGATCATTGGGGAGGTCTGAGGATTTAATCCCAGATTTCTTTATAGACAGCTCGATGGAAGCAGAACGTAACCGTGAACTGTGGTTGCATAACAAGGATGATTCCGAAGAGTGTCGAAGCAGTTGCTTCGTCAATGCAACAGAGTGAAAATCTTCCATTCTTCTTTTGGCAATTCCATAAGCTGATATTATGCTTCCCTCTGATCTAGATCGAACAATCATGGCTGGAGGCAACGGCGGTGAAGATGAAGGCTCTTGGTTCTGTTCGTCTCTCCCTGGGGGAGCTGAGGTAGGCACCACCAAAGATGGCGATTTGACGAGTCCTCCACCTTTTGTCGAAGCAGTATGCGTAAGTTCAGAGGTGGTGAGGCTGAGGAGCTCCCTGTTGGACGTCAAGCCCATGCCTTCAAGAAGGCGCCTGCGTCTATCCTTAATGGAAATGGGCTCTGCCATCCATACACTGTATTCGTCGGACATGGAGTGAGAAGCCACCACTGGACCTTCATTAGAGAAGCAAAAGAGCTCCTCCGGCGGAGTCGAACTGGTGGAGGCAAAAGAGATGCAGCTTACCTCCTGGTATTCATCGTCGTCATCCGATCCTGAAGAGAAGTTGGGCAATCCGGAGGAATCGAAGAAGCAGTCTTCATTATCGTCCCCCAAAGTATCCAACTTCAGGGTCATCGTCCTCCTTTTTGCCATCCTTGCACATTGATTGCAGAGAATTCAGTCTGAGAGAGAGAGAGAGAGAGAGAGAGAGAATTTTCTGAGTTTTTGAGTATTGCTTTCAATGGATAAAGAGAAGTAACCGTTCGTTTTGTTTAGTTGTTCATTATTTTTGTGGTAAAGGCGCAGCAATGAATCAACCTTGATTTGAGGAGTCAAATTGTTCAAACCCAATTTGAAACGGTCTACCTTCTTTCCTCAACCTTTCATCGTTTACCTTACAATTTTACACCTGGCAGGCTGGCACTGGCAGGGACCTACGAAAAAGTGGGTCCCTTCCTGTGAGTTATTCCAACCATATCAAATGCTCACATAGCCGGATAGCTTGAACCTCGAGGGTTACAAACTTACAACTTCAAGAAGGCTTTCTGGCTTCTACTTGACAAAAGTAGAAACAATTGTAAAGGATTACATTCACATATACCCATCTACTTGACATAAGAAGAAACAATAGAAAGCATTACAAAAGTATAGAAACAAAATCCTATCCACAAAGACACTACAGCTGTACATCGATAACATCTCCCTTGAATACTAGAGATTGGATCTCCACTCATAAAGGTATTTGGTATGGCTGTGATAAAGGTGCCACGTCATCGCCATGTGGGCAGTTACTCCATGAGTCCGCGTTCTGTGCACCCGTGGGTGCACTCGACGTGTGATCCCGCGAATAGGACAAGGATACATCAACCATGCTAACGTTAACGTGCGTTTGAACGTTAACATGGTCTGATCGATTCAATCGGACATGAACCGGTCGCGACACCAGAGCTCGTTCCACCGAGTCCTTTCTCCATCGGCGGCGACAAGGAAACCTCCGGCAACAAGGAGACCTCTGGCGGCGACAAGTATCACCGTTGCTTTCTCTCCTCTTCTCTGCTTCTTCTCTTCTTCTCCGACGGTGACAAGGACTCGTTCCTGAATGCTCTGACGCCAGAGCAATGCTCTTAAAGCAGATGGACAGACCCAAAGTGCTAAGTTGAACCATTTATCTCTAGGCTTGACATTCAAAGACGAAGACGAGGACGATGATGGAGACAAGAGAGTCTGCTCACCACTGTAATTCCGCGAGGAAACACAGGGATTCTAGTATTATGTGCAAGGTCTTTGTAAAAACTCAGTAATTATCTGCTCAATTTTGCTGATTCGGAGTGAATATTGCTCTGAGAAGAAGCCATTAACTCTCACTCTCTCTCCCTCTCTAAACAAACAATTTCATCGATGTTAACTCAATGTTCAATACTCTTTCCAGAGGGAGAGAAATCGAAAATTTCAAAATCCAATTTAAAACTGATTCTTCCAGCAATAAAGCATTCAAAACCTCTTTAAAGAATAACCCTAGAGATTAGAAAACAAAAAAAAATCACAAATTTCGAACAACAGAATCAAAGACAGAAGAATTCGAACTACAGATAGAATTAGAACATGTGAAGCTCATGGGATCGATACAAAATTTTCAGTGATCAACAAATGAGAAGATCAGAAATTAATCAAAAATCGGGAAGAGATTGAAATTCGAAAAAGCAACACTCACTGTTCTGCTGTTGTTGATATGGTTGGAATCAGGAAGGAAACCCGTTTTTAACAGGAGGATTTTCAGTTGTTTTTTTCTCGTTGAAACTTAAAGGACCCTGGTTTCTGGGTGGGTCTGGGTCTGAGGCTCTGTGAGCAGATGAAGGACTGAACCACTAAGGATAAGGATTTATGTCCCGAACTCTGTGTAACTTCCCCGTCAACCGCAGAGAGAGAGAGAAGACAAATCATTGAACGAGGTAGAGTTGCCATCTGCCACAGATGGTTATACCTGTCGCCGTCGATGGAGACCAGATGAGAATAAGAGAAGAGGAGAAAAGGAGAAGAGAAGAGGCAAAGAAGAGGAGAAGAAGAGAAGAGGAGAGAAAGCAACGGTTAACGTTGGCATGGGGAGTGTTTGATGGAAGAGCTCCGGTGTCACGACTGGGTCATATCCGATTGAACCGACCACACCAAGTTAACGCTCAAACACGCGTTAACGTTGGCATAGTCGACGTGTCCTTCTTCTATTCGCAGGTTCACACGTTCAATGCACCCACGGGTGCACAGAACGTGGCTCTTAATCATTTATCTTATAAATATTTGTTTTAACTTAACTGTTGAAAGAAACTTTATTTTAATGCTTGCCTCAATAAAAATGTGTTTATTTATCGTTCCACTTATGTGGCACCTAGGGGCGTTTAGGTGTCAATAAATATCAGAAAAATGTTCATCATCCCCTTTTTTTTCAGTTTTGAAAGCAAATCAAATACAAATGTTTATTTAATAACAGAGCCATGCCATATACAAAACGCGCCTCACACTGACCTCACAGTACATTTCGGCCATGCATTTGAAACACCTCTCATGAATTAAAAATTTACAAGTATGAGATGTTCCAGGTGCACCACTGAAAAGTGCTGTGAATTTAGTGCGAGACATGTTTGTGAGAGCAGATCTGAACTCTGAATGGTAATGTATAAGTACTGGGAGACATTCTCAACCTGCAGTTGTGGTGACGGGATCTGCTCCTCACAAATGGACGCCTCACAGGCACATCCACCATGCATTGAGAACATCTCTCATGAATAATAACCAATAAGTATGGGAGATGTTCCCAATGCATGATAGGATGTGCATGTGAGGTGCCAACTGTGAGGAGCAGATCCGGTCTCGCAGTTGTGATATATCATATATGGATAGGTGTGGATAGGGCTCTTGTTGGTAGGAGATCCGAACACTCCTTGGATCACTACGTGAAATGGGTGGGTCCTGGGCATTATGGTAACAATGATGGTATGGAAAATAATCAAATTATATGAGAAACAAGAACGTTATATTACCATAGAAGAGGATTTTAAAAATCAATTATAATAATATGGGGATGTAGCTCAAATGGTAAAGTGTTCGCTTTGCATGTGAGAGGTAAAGGGTTTGATCCCCTGCATCTCCATTAATAATTTGCGTTGTTTTTGTTTTCATATTTTTTGACATGAGTGAATATCTTATATATATATATATATATATATATATATATATATATATATTATATCTATATTAAAGGAAGGTTTTCAAATTAGGTATCGTAATAAAAGAAAACTATCCATATTTTAATCATTATTGAAAAGGTATTTTTTGAAATAAATATTTCTTAAAATTTTAATAATTATTTAAAATATTAATAAATATAAATTTAACATTATTAATTCTATAATTTAAATTTAACATTACTGATTCTCCGTACTTAATACGGGATCATTCACTAGTGATCCCCATTCTCAATTAATTGTAGTGGGAACATGATCAAGCCATCTAGGACTCTTGGTGTCACTACTCTATTTTGGAGGGGTGCTAGTTTCCTTTGCGCTATATCATGTGCCTGCAATTACCTTATCTTTGGAGGATTTGTATTCTGTCAATTGTTGTTATTGTATGGCTCATGCATTTGTATCCAATTTTTATTACTTTATCTTTCAAGGAATTGTATTCAGTGCGGTTGTTATTGTAGGGCTCATGCATTTGTATCCAACGTTTTGCACCATTGTTAAGTAAGTGATGGTATGAGGAATGAAATAGAGGATCCTATATTGTCACCTTCTACACATTTAGCAAGGTTTAGATGGAATATTCCTCCATCTACAGTAGGGTTGTGGGTCGGGTTCAACCTGATGGACTCGATGGATTCAAATTGATTGGGCTGGCTTTGCTTCTAGGAACTAGAATCGACGGGTCGGTTTTGGGTTCTAATATAGTGTTCTCATTATTATTAGTTCAGAATCGGTTTCACCTAGTCTTGAATTGATAAAAGAATCGTACAAATGGGGGCAACTCTGTTGGGGATTAGTTCTTATCCCAAAGACCTCGGTGGGCAACCTCATCCCAACAACCCCAGAAGCCTCACCCGATCAAGACACAGATCTTTGGCTATAAAAAGGTACCTCTCGCTCAAGGTAAGGGATTTGACTTCTGGTTTTCCATACTGTTACTTTGCTCGGACCAGCACCGTTTTCTCAACTACTAGGCCTAACCACCCACCATTCTTGACTAACTTGAACATTGGAGTACCTACATGGGGATAACTCCTCAGGCCTCTGACTTCGTTCTTGGTTTCAGATCTTAGAGTGTGGCTTCATCCTTCCATCTCAATTCCATGCAGTTGGCAGGATTATCTGACTGCGACCTCGGTTCAAGAACTATTTCGGATTGAGCAGCATTAGATTGGCGTCGTCTGTTGGAATCGTACAAAAAGCCATTCCTAACCCTTTTTTTCGTGCATTCAAGAAAGATGCCAAGAAACACACCCGATCGCTCAACAAGTTGATCTCCATCTAGGGGATCCAGCTCTCACCGTAACCCTTCACCGCGTGAATTTCAACAACTACCCCAACCGCAGGCTGTAGTCGACCCCACCCAGTTTCAGGTGATGTAGCAAAAGGTCGACCAAATCTTGGCAATGATGTAGACGCTAGGCTCTACGCCACAACCTCCTTAGGTCATCCCTCCCCTTTCCCTGACGCTTAATGCGGCTAATCCTCGCCCTGAGGACCCCAAAAGGCGTTGGTCGGACAGGGGCAAGGTGTAGTCTGATCAAGAAAGACAGACATCAAGAAGATCAGGCTCCTAGGCCCGGTCTCGTGAACATGATGACCGCAGCAAAACACATCGATCTGCCCAAATTCCAGCAAAAGAAAGGCTCGGTGGATGGACACAACAACAACAGATCTCCATCACCAAATCTAGTTCGATTAAAGACCGCCCAGTAGCACCCAAGAAAGAGAAGACTATGTGAAGATCAGGGAACTCAAACAGTGCCTAACTGAGCTAGAGTGCAGCCATGCTGACAGAAGCGCGATTCCTCCCGTAGTCTGGCCTGTGGAACCCAACAACCTACCTGCCAAGGAGCCGATCTTCACCCAAGACATCTTGGGTGAGCTCCCCCTAGCCGGATGGTGAGCCCCATAGTT